ACTACTATTACTACCAAAAGTGAACATCGAAATGGTACCCCCATAGGAAATTTACCTCACTTGAGCTTTTATACCCTCTGTGTCCAAGGGATTGGGTTTTTTTTTTTAATGCTTGAAAAAAAGCTCCTTGGGGAGCGAAACGTTGCCCCAATAAAAGACATTAGTTGCATTGTGTCCTTTTACTTTCTTTTTGTCGGTAATTCTACCCAAATTTATTACGTTATTTTTTTATTATTATTATTATTATTTTTTTATTATTATATTATTATTATTATTATTTTTATTTTATTTTTTTTAAAATTTTATTGTTGTTTTTTTTTTTTTTGTTGTTGTTTTTTTGTTTGTTGTTGTTGTTTGTTTTTTGTTGTTGTTGTTTTTTGCTTTTTGTTGTTGTTGTTGTTGTTTTCCAAACCCTTTTTTCCAGGTTCTGCCACGAAGGTTAAACCATTTTATTTCTTCCCATTGGGGGGGCACAAAAATTTTAGTTTTTTCCAGTGGTGATTATCACCTCGCGGCAAAACCCCTGGAATGTAGTGAGTGCCACCTTTACCAAAAACCCGCGAGTTTTCGCAGTGGGTATTTATAGTGGGGGTATCAAAGGTTTTTTGTCAGTGGTTTTTGCCAGTAAAAATGGTGGTATCAAAAGGTTTTTTGCGGGTAGTACCGTAAGATGGGGGTATTTTAGGTTCTTGCAGTGGTTTGACCAGTAAAGATTGGGGGGTATTTAAGGGTTTTTGACAGTGGTAGTACCGTTAAGGTGGTGGTTTTTCAAGGTTTTTTGACAGTGGGAGACCCGAAGATGGTGGTTTTCAAAGGGTTTTTGACAGTGGTAGTCCGAAGATTGGGGGTTCAAGGTTCTTGACCCGTGGTAGACCGTAAGGGTGGTGGTATAAAAATTCTTGACAGTGGTAGACCCGGAAGATGGTGGTATCAAGGTTTTGACGTGGTAGACCAAAAAGATGGTGGTATTTAAGGTTCTTGACAAGGGGTTTGAAACCCGTAAGAGGGGGTTTCAAGGTTCTTTACAGTGGTAAAAAACCAGAAGATGGTGGTTCAAGGTTTTGACGTGGTTTTGCACCTGCAAAAGGTGGGGTTTAAGGTTTTTTGACAGGGTAGCACCAGGGAAGATGGTGGTATCAAGGTTCTTTGGGGCGTGGTAGACCCGTAAGATGGTGGTATAAGGTTCTTGCAAATGGTAGACCGAAAGATGGGGGTATCAAGGTTCTTGAAAAGTGGTTAAACACCGCCCAAAATTGGGGGTTTCAAGGGTTTTTGCAGTGGTTTGAAACCCGAATGGGGTGGTATCAAGGTTTTTTTGACAGTGGTAGTATCAGTAAGGGTGGTGGGTTTAAGGTTCTTTACTTTGGGAGACCCGCAAGATGGTGGTTTTAAGGTTTTTGAAAAGTGGTAAACACCGCAGGGGGGATGGGTTTTTGACAATGGGTCCTTGATTTTTCCTTCTTTCCCTGGTTCCCTTGGTGGTTTAATTTTTTGCCCCTTTTTCCTTTACTTTTTCCCCCTTCTTTCCTGGTCTTTTTCCCCTCCCCCTCCCTTCCTCCTGCCCCCTCCCCTTTTCCCCCTTGATTTCTGCTTCCCCCACTTCCCCCGCTCCCCCACTTCCTCCCGCTCCTCCCTTCTCTCTCCGGCCCCCTTCCCCCTGCTCCCCCAATTCCCCTGCTCCCCACTTCCCCTGCTCATGCACTTCTCCTGCCCCCTCCCCTTCCTCCTGCTTCCCCCACTTCCTCCTGCTCCTCCAATTCCTCCTCTCCTCCCCCTTCCCCCTGCCCCCTCCCCTTTCCCCTTTCTCCCCACTTTCACCTGGCCCCCCAATTCCTCTGCTCCTCCTTCCTCCCCTCCTCCCTTGTTTATTTGCTTTCCCTTTTTCCCTTTAAATTTTCCCCCCCAAAAAAACCCCCAACAATGGGAAACCCCCCCCAAATGGCTTCCCCCCCTTTCTTTTCCCCCCCCTTTTCCTCCCCGCCCTTTTTTTCTTCCCCCCCTTAAATTTCCCCAAATTTTTCCCCCCCCCAAATGGGTTTCTTCCTCCCCCAAATGGGACTTCCTCCCCACAAGTGGTACTTTCCTCCCCCAGTTTTACTTCCTCCCCCAAATGGTAATTCCTTTCCCCCCAAAATGGTATTCCCCCCCACAAGTGGGTTTTCCCCCCCACAAGTGGTACTTCCTCCCCACAAGTGGTACTTCCTCCCCGCCAGTGGTACTTCCTCCCCACAAGTGGTACTTCCTCCCCACAAGTGGTACTTCCTCCCCACAAGTGGTACTTCCTCCCCACAAGTGGTACTTTCCCCCCCCAAACCCCCCCAAATGGTACTTCCTCCCCCCAAGTGGGGCTTAATTTCCCCCAAAGGGGAAATTTCCCCCCAAATGGTACTTCCCCCCCACAAGTGGTACTTTTCCCCCCCCCAAATGGTTCTTCCCCCCCCCAGTGTACTTCCTCCCCACAAGTTTGGGCTTCCTCCCCCCAAATGGGACATTCCTCCCCCCCCAGTGATACCCTTCCCCCCACAAATGGTACTTTTCCCCCCCCCAAAATGGTACTTCCTCCCCCCAAAATGGTTTCTTCCCCCCCCCAAATGGTACTTCCCCCCCCGCCGTGGTAAATTCCTCCCCCAAATGGAAATTTCCCCCCCACAAATGGACTTCCCCCCCCAAATTTGGAATTTTCCCCCCCGCCATTTTATTCCTCCCCACAAGTTGGGATTCCTCCCCCCGTGGGAAATTCCTCCCGCCGTGGTACTTCCCCCCCGCCAGTGATACTCCCTCCCCGCCAGTGGTACTTCCTCCCCACAAATGGCACTTCCCCCCCAAGGGGACTTCCCCCCCCAAATGGAAATTCCCCGCCCCGTGGTACTTTCCCCCCCCCCCCACAAAATGGTATTCCTCCCCCCAAGTGGATTCCCCCCGCCAGTGGTTTCTTCCCCCGCCCGTGTTTTCCCTCCCCGCCGTGGTATTCCTCCCCACAAGTGGCACTTCCCCCCCGCCGTTTGGGACTTCCTCCCCCGGGCCCGTGGAAATTTCCCCCCCGCAATTTTATTTTCCCCCCCAAGGTTTACTTCCCTTTCCCCTAGTGGCCCTTTCCCCCCGCCAAGGGGGGTATTCCTTTCCCCCCAGTGGGACCCCCCCCCCGGCCCGTGGTACTTCCCCCACAAGTGGCATTCCACCCCGCCCGTGGTTTCTTCCTCCCCGCCCGTGGACTTCCCCCCTCTCCCCACTAAAGGGGGACTTTTCCCCCAGTGGTTTCTTCCTCCCCCAAAGGGGGGTTTTCCTTTTCCCCCCAGTGGTACTTCTCCCCCAAATGGTTTCTTCCTCCCCACAAATGGACTTCCACCCTCCAAAGGGGGTTCTTCCTTTCCCCCCGTGGTTTTCTTTCCTCCCCACAAGTGGTACTTCCTTTCCCCCAAAATGGTACTTCCTCCCACAAGTGGTACTTCCTCCCACCAAATGGTACTTCCTCCCCAGTGGTATTCCTCCCCACCAGTGGTTTTCTTCCCCCCCCAAGGGGGTACTTCCCCCCCAAATGGTTTCTTCCTCCCCCAAATGGTACTTCCCCCCCACCAGTGGTACTTCCCCCCCCAAATGGGGGACTTCCTCTCCACCAGGGTACTTCCCCCCCCCGTGGTATTCCTCCCCCCAGTGGTATTCCCCCTCCAACCCGTGGTACTTCCTCTCCACCAGTGGTACCCTTTCCCCCCCACAGTGGTACTTCCTCTCCCCCAGTGGTACTTCCTTTTCCCCCAGTGGTTTCTTCCCCTCACCAGTGGGACTTCCCTCCACCAGTGGTACTTCCTCCCCCCAAAATGGTACTTTTCCCCTCCACCGTTTGGGACTTCCTCTCCACCCGTGGTTTCTTCCTCTCCACCCGTGGTATTCCCCTTTCCCCCAGGGTACTTTTTCCCCCCAAAAAATATCCTTCTACCGTGGTCTTTTTAACCGTGGTCCTTTTGTGTGGGACTTTCTCCCCCTGGTACTTTTAAATTTGGGGGGGCTTTCCCCCGGTGGGGGGGCTTTCCTTACTGTGGTTCTTTTACCCGTGGCTTTTTAAAGGGGGTCTCCTTTAAAGGGTATTTCCCCCCGTGGGGACCCTTTCTCCCGGGGGGGGCTTTCCCCTACCCGTGGTCTCCCTTAAATGGGGGGGCTTTTGGGTCCTGGTGGGGGGTTGGGCTCAAAAATTGGGGGGGGTTTTCTTTGGGGGCTTGTGGGACTTTTTGGGGGGGGCTTGGTTCGTGTGGGGAGGCTTTTGGTCTGTGTGGGGGGGGCTGTTGTTCTTTTTGGGGAGGCTGTGGTCTTAGGTGGGGAGGTTTGGTCTCGTGGGGGAGGTTTGGTCTTTGGGGGAGGGGTGTTGGGCTCGGGGTAAATTTCCCTTGGGGGGCTTGTCTTTAAGGGGGGGCTTTGGCCCTTAGGTTTGGCCCCCTGTGGGGAAGGGGGTTTGGGGCCTTTTGGGGAACTTTCCCGTTTGGGAGGGTTGGGCGTTGGGGGGGGTTTTTTTATTTTATTTGGGAAAAAATTTGGCCCCCTTCGGAACCCCGGGTTTTTCTTGGGAGGCTTAGGGCTTTTGGGAAAAAAAGTTCTTGTTGGGGGGGGGGCCGTTTTCTCGGGGTTTTGGGGGGGGGGGTTTTTCCTTACCTTTTGGGTTTTTGTTGGGGGGGGCGGGTCCGGTGGGAGGGTGGGCCCCTTGGGGGGTTTGGCTTGTATGGGGACGGGCCCCTTCTGGGGAGGAAGTGGTGTGGGGGGGGTTTGGCTGTGGGGGGTGTGGGCTGGGTTGTGGGAAAGGCTGTTGGCCCTGGTGGGGACGGGGCTCCTGTGGGGGGCCTTTGGGCTGTGGGAAAGGTGTTGGTCTGGGGGGAAAGGCGTGTGGTCCGTAATAACAGTTAAAATGGTAACTGGAGGACGCGATTTTACAGATAAACAGTGTAATTGGTAAAGGGTTATGTCCTTACCGTTTTGTTTGTGTCTGAGGTGCGAGAGATCAGGTTGAGAGGTCGTCACCCTGCTGGTATTAGTCTGAGGGCACGAGAACACCCGTTACTAGCCAGGAATGGTGTAGCGAGGTCGCGCTGTACAAAAATACGTAATCTGGTTAGTACAGTACATGTTGTGACCCTGGTCAGGGACTAGGTGATGCTTGTGCACTTGGTCTGAGACCAGGTCACAACATTAATTCCAGGTCTGTATAACAGGTCAATTACTCGTAGATCCTGGTTGTGACAGGTTCAGAGTATCTGGTTATGGATAGGTCCACTTTGATCTGGTCTGTAAGGTCAATGTATCCTGTATGGTAGACGTGATCACATGGTTATGACAGGTAGACTGTACACTGGTTATGATCAGGTACACTGTGTCTGGTCTGTACAGGTAACAGGATCTGGTTAGTGACAGGTCACTGTGTACTGGTCAGTGACAGGTCACACTGTGACCCGGGTCATGTGAAGTCACAATGATTGTAGCTAGAACAAGGGTGACTTACTCTATGTTGTGTGACAGGTCAGCTGTATCTGGTAGTGACAGGTCACCTGTGATCTGGTCTGTGAAGTAGTACTTACTTCGATGAAGGTCACTGTGATCCTGTACTATAGGTACTGTGATCTTTTGTAGTCACTACTGTATCTTCTGACAGTACTGGTCCTGCTTTGACGTCACGTACTGTCGTACGGTCTACTGGATTGGGATATCATACTATTGGTACTACTACTATTACTATTACTGTATATATCCGGTACTACTACACTATACTATCATTTTACATTATTATATTCTACTATATTTACTTATATATACTATTACTACTATTATCTATATATATACTACTACTACTATTACTACTTACTATACGTATATTACTACTACTTACTATTACTACTACTATTATACTAATACTATTACTACTAGCTACTATGTATTACTAACTACTATTACTATACAACTACTATTACTACTACAACTACTTTATTTTACTACATACTATTATACTTACTACAACTACTATATACTACATAACTACTATTACTACTACTATACTATATACTACTACTACTACTATTACTACTTACACTACTATTACTACTACACTATATTACTACTACACTACTTTACTACTATACTACAGTACTATTAACTTACTACAACTACTATTACTTACTACATACTTTTACTACTACACTACTATTACTACTACAACTACTTTTACTACTACAACACTATTACTACTACATTACTATTACTACTACAACTACTTATTACTACTACACTACTATTACTCTACAACTACTATTACTACTACAATTACTATTACTACTACAACTACTTATTAATACTACTAACTATTACTACTACATACTACTATTAATACTACACAATACTATTACTATAAACTATCTATCTACTACTACTAACTACTATCTTTACTTACTACTATACTATTACGACTAATACTACTTATTACTACTACAACTATATATACTATCCTACAACTACTATTACTACTTCAACTACTATTATTTACTACACTACACTAATTTATCTACACTATTACTACTATACTACTATTACTACTACAACTACTATTACTACTACAACTACTATTTACTACTACAACTACTATTACTACTCCCTACTATTACTACTACAACTACTATTACTACTACAACTACTATTACTACTATTACTACTATTACTAACATACTTACTACTATTTACTACTACAACTACTATTACTACTACTACTATTACTACTACAACTACTATTACTACTACAAACTAACTACTTTACTACTACAACAACTTATTACTACTACAACTACTATTACTCCCTACAACTACTATTACTTTTACTTACAACTACTATTACTACTACAACTACTATTACTACTACAAACTTACTACTACAAACTATACTACTACTATATTACTACTACAACTACTATTACTACTACTACTATTACTACTACTACTATTACTACTACTACTACTACTATATTACTACTACAACTACTATTACTACTATTACTACTACTACTATTACTACTACAACTACTATTACTACTACAACTACTATTACTACTACAACAACTATTACTACTACAACTACTATTACTACTACAACTACTATTACTACTACAACTACTATTACTACTACAACTACTATTACTACTACAACTACTATTACTACTACAACTACTATTACTACTACAACTACTATTACTACTACAACTACTATTACTACTACAACTACTATTACTACTGCTACTACTACTACTACTATTATTATTACTATAACTACTATTACTACTACTACTACTATTATTACTACTACAACTACAACTAATACTACTACTACTACTACTACTACTACTATTACTACTACTACTACTACTACTACTATTACTACTATTATTACTACTACAACTACTATTACTACTACTACTACTACTATTACTACTACTACTACTACTACTACTATTATTACTACTACAACTACTATTACTACTACTACTACTACTACTATTACTACTACTACTACTACTACTACTACTATTATTACTACTACAACTACTATTACTACTACTACTACTACTATTATTACTACTACAACTACTATTACTACTACTACTACTACTACTATTACTACTACTACTACTACTACTACTATTATTACTACTACAACTACTATTACTACTACTACTACTACTACTACTACTATTACTACTACTACTACTACTACTATTATTACTACTACAACTACTATTACTACTACTACTACTACTACTACTATTATTACTACTACAACTACTATTACTACTACTACTACTACTACTATTACTACTACTACTACTACTATTACTACTACCACACCTAGATAAAACACTCTGGTAGGCATCTAAGTCGACCTTAGCCCCAGTATAAGTGGTAAATGGTAAACTTAGTACTGAGTATTACAGTATACTGTGTGACTCTTAACGTCTCTCAACCATCCTGGAGGGACTGTGTAACAACAGCGATGCTGTTACGATAGCTGTGTTCCAGTATGTTACTATAGCTGTGTTTCCAGGCTGTTACAATAGCTGTGTTCCAGACTGTTACTATAGTTGTGCTCCAGACTGTTACGATAGCTGTGTTTCCAGGCTTTTCAATAGCTGTGTTTCCAGGCTGTTCAATAGCTGTGTTTCCAGGCTGCTTGACAGCCGTGTTTCCAGGCTGCTCGACAGCCGTGTTTCCAGGCTGTTACGACAGCTGTGTTTCCAGGCGGTTACGACAGCTGTGTTTCCAGGCTGCTCGACAGCCGTGTTTCCAGGCTGTTACGACAGCTGTGTTTCCAGGCGGTTACGACAGCTGTTTCCAGGCTGTTCAATAGCTTTATAAATTCTGAAAGTAAATGTCATTAATGACAGTATTTCTTACGAACAAACAGCCTTGAACACACACACACACACACACACGGGGCCAGGAGCTGAGTCTCGACCCCTGCAACCACAATTAGGTGAGTACACACACTAGTAAAAACTGGTTAACAATAGTCTTGAACATGCACGTGTAAGGAGGATAGTTGCAAGCACTGGGTCACCACTCTGGGACGTGACCACGTGTAAGGAGGATAGTTACAAGCACTGGGTCACCACTCTGGGACGTGACCACGTGTAAGGAGGATAGTTGCAAGCACTGGGTCACAACCCTGGGACGTGACCACGTGTAAGGAGGATAGTTGCAAGCACTGGGTCACCACTCTGGGACGTGACCACGTGTAAGGAGGATAGTTGCAAGCACTGGGTCACCACCCTGGGACGTGACCACGTAAAGGAGGATAGTTGCAAGCACTGGGTCACCACCTGGGACGTGACCACGTGTAAGGAGGATAGTTGCAAGCACTGGGTCACCACCTGGGACGTGACCACAGTGTAAGGAGGATAGTGCAAGCACTGGGTCACCACTCTGGGACGTGACCACATGTAAGGAGGATAGTTGCAAGCACTGGGTCACCACTCTGGGACGTGACCACGTGTAAGGAGGATAGTTACAAGCACTGGGTCACCACTCTGGGACGTGACCACGTGTAAGGAGGATAGTTGCAAGCACTGGGTCACCACCCTGGGACGTGACCACGTGTAAGGAGGATAGTTGCAAGCACTGGGTCACAACCCTGGGACGTGACCACGTAAAGGAGGATAGTTGCAAGCACTGGGTCACCACCCTGGGACGTGACCACGTAAAGGAGGATAGTTGCAAGCACTGGGTCACCACCCTGGGACGTGACCACATGTAAGGAGGATAGTTGCAAGCACTGGGTCACCACCCTGGGACGTGACCACGTGTAAGGAGGATAGCTGCAAGCACTGGGTCACCACCCTGGACGTGACCACGTGTAAGGAGGATAGTTGCAAGCACTGGGTCACCACCCTGGGACGTGACCACGTGTAAGGAGGATAGTTGCAAGCACTGGGTCACCACCCTGGGACGTGACCACGTGTAAGGAGGATAGTTGCAAGCACTGGGTCACCACCCTGGGACGTGACCACGTGTAAGGAGGATAGTTGCAAGCACTGGGTCACCACCCTGGGACGTGACCACGTGTAAGGAGGATAGTTGCAAGCACTGGGTCACCACCCTGGGACGTGACCACGTGTAAGGAGGATAGTTGCAAGCACTGGGTCACCACCCTGGGACGTGACCACGTGTAAGGAGGATAGTTGCAAGCACTGGGTCACCACCCTGGGACGTGACCACGTGTAAGGAGGATAGTTGCAAGCACTGGGTCACCACCCTGGGACGTGACCACGTGTAAGAATGATAGTTGCAAGCACTGGGTCACCACCCTGGGACGTGACTACGTGTAAGGAGGATAGTTACAAGCACTGGGTCACCACCCTGGGACGTGACCACGTGTAAGGAGGATAGTTGCAAGCACTGGGTCACCACCCTGGGACGTGACCACGTGTAAGGAGGATAATTGCAAACACTGGGTCACCACCCTGGGACGTGACCACGTGTAAGG